TGTAAAACGTGACGCTGCGTTTGAAACCAACACGGTGGCTTCAGGGTTGGGAGCTAAAACGTTTTTTTTTTGGGGTGGAAAATGAACCTCTTCACGGAAGTTCAGAAGCTTCTTTTGTTTCTTTCCGTCCCACTTTCCCACACTCAGATTCAGTTATGTCACCAAAACTCAAACATCCCCTCATTCACCCACCCCCCAACACACACACACACACACCATATGGCTGCATGTCAGACAGCTGCAAGACCTGAAGGAAAGTGTCAGGAGTTTTGTTGCAGAAAATGTTAAATATAATTGTTCACAAGAGCAACAATAATCCCCCTCCTTGCATCTATATGTGTGTTTGTGCGTGGGTGCGGAGTGTCAGTGTGCACGGCGACTTGTTATTTTGTACGTGTGCCTGTGTGTCACTCAGTCTGGTGATAGATCCTCAGCTGTCACATCTTTCAACCAGACATTTCCACTTGCATATTCATTAGTTTGGCAAATTCAGCCTAAAAAGCCTTAATGAGTTCCCAAGATTACCAGCTCAGACGAGATGAACAAAAGCTTTGCAGCTTTTTCTGTCCCTCCCTAAAAATTAATATATATATATAGAGAGAGAGCCCAGTCGATAAGATTGATCCATTTGTTCATATATTTGTTCAAGATGTCGTTTTTTTCTTTGCAGTGAGCTGAAACGTCCAGGCTTTTAGATAGAACGTGAGCAGTAAGTGGCAATTACATTTCTGCAGCTCATTATGTTGTGTAAAAACTGAATGACGCATGAAGTTCTCACATTTTGAGAGCTTATGAAAGGAGCAGAACAAGCTAATGGGGTGAATCTGTCACCTAGTGGCTGAAATAAAAAAAGACAGAAATGTATCAAAATCATTTCATATATTTTAACCTTTAGTCTCTTTGATGCTTGAGGTGAATTAATAGGGTGACATGGCATTAAAGAGCATGACTCAATATTTCTTTCTTAAGAAAAAAAAAGTTTATTTTATCAATATTGAGGTATGAAGATAAGAAATCATCATAAATCCAATTTAACTTTTTTATTGCGAAAAGGCTGAAATTTAGCCAAAACAATAGTCGCCTGCTTTTAAGCAAAGATTTTGTATTATCTGTAAGTGTTGGTAATGACTCTCAGCTACCACACGCCAACTTTTAGCTCGTAAAACTAGTTTATATATATATATATATATATATATATATATATATATATATATATATATATATATATATATATATATATATATATAATTGGCCGGTGCGGCCATCTTGAATCTGACTGCAGATCTGATCAGTTGTGAACGTACATCCGGTAATTACTTTCTGCAAGTTTCATTAAAATAGTCCAGTGACAAAGATATGTTCAACATTCACAGAAATAATATTTCTATTGTCTCATGAAGAATCAAGTGTTGGAGTTAAGACAATCAAACTTACACAGGCACAGGAGGATCATGATATCCATCTAGAGAAAATGCAGTGTGAATGCTTATTGCAGAAGAACTTGCTGAAATTAGTTTTTTTTAAATGCTGAAATGTAGTTAAAAGTAAAAAAAAAAGCTTAAATTATCACAATAAAGTAGAACAAACACATATTTGCAGAATAAGGTTTAAATAAACAGAAATTAGCACACAAATGAGGAAAATAGCTATAAAAAAAAGAGGCTGAAATTAGCCAAAAGTATCTGAAAAGGCTGAAAAAAGGTTAAGCTACGAAAAGGAAGTGGAAAGAGCTGAAATTAGCTAGAAAAAAAAGTGGAATTGCAAAAAGCTAAAATTAGCATAAAAACAGCTAAATAGTAGCTGAAATTGCAGAAAAGACTGAAACTAGCAGAAAAAAGCTGAAAGGAGCGTAACAAAGCTGAAGTTAGCAGAAAGATGTTAATTAGGTTGAAAGTAACAGAAATTACCACAAAAAACTCGAATTTATCAGAAAACAACTGCAATTAGCTAAAAAAAAAACAAAAAAAAAGCTAGCGGAAAAGGTACAACAAGCTTAAATTAGCTAAAGGAAATAGAGAGAGCATGTTTGCTCATGTAAGCTGAAAGAAGCAGAAATTAGCACAAAAAAAGTGGAACTTATCTGAAAAAAATAAAACAGTGGAAAAGTAGCTTAAAATGCAGAAAGAAGCTTAAAATACAATAAGGGAAGTGGAGAGAGCACATTTTTGTTGAATTTGACTGGAAAAAGTGAAATGGGTGCAAAAAATGTGGAATTAGCTGAAAAAGCTAAAATTAGCATAAAAAACAGCTAAATTTATTGGTACCATTTTACAATAAGGCTCCCCTTATAGGTGGCCATAAATAGCATTATTAATTCCTCTATAAACACGTTATAAATCATTAATAACTGCTTATTATGCGTTAATTAAGGGTGACAGAGACAAAACTGACCAGTTTCTTGACAAACAGTGAGCCAAATCTGTTCATCTATATATTTCATCTAGAGTTGTTATATTAAACATTTCAGACTAATTTACTACCTTGTAAGTACAATAAGCATTTGTAAACCTATTTTTTAGGGTAAAATATTTGTTATAGATATTTATAATGCAGTGATAACGTACAATATTATATGCTAAAGAAATAGGTTTACAAATGCTTATTGTGCTTACAAGGTAGTAACTTGGTCTGAAAATGTTTAATATAAACTCTAGATGAAATATATAGGTGAAAAGATTGGGTTCGCTATTTAGCAACCTTTAATTAAGGCATAATAAGCAGTAATTAATAATTTATAAATTGTTTATAGAGGATTTAATATCATAGTGGTAAAGTGGTACCAATTTTTTATTTTTTTTTATATAGCGCCAAATCCCAACAGAAGTTGTCTCAGGGCATGTTAAATAGTAGCTGAAATACCAGAAAAAGCTGAAACTTGCAGAAATAAGCTGAAAGGAGCATAACAAGCTGAAATTTTCAGCAAGAAGTTAGAAGAACAAAAAGGTTGTAGTCAGCAGAAAGAATCTGAAAGGAGCACAAAACAGCTGAAAGTAGCTGAACAAAGTTTACATTTGCATAAGGAAGCTGAAAGAAGCTGAACCAGAACAAAATGTGGAAAGAGCAGTAAAAGATTGTAAACAGAGCTAAAGATATGAAGGATGTTAAATGAGCTCAATTCATTTTCTATGAGGAAAAAAAAATGGCAGTAAAGGCTAAATATTTCAAAAATCTAAAGTTGCACCGATACCAAAAGACTGAGCACCCTTCAGCCGAACATTTTGATACCTAAATTGCTGAAATAGCTTAAAAACTGCAGGACGAGAATCGTGCCGAAAAACGCACAGAAGAAAAATGGATCACAATCGTGTGACTGCTTCATAAACGTTCACACAAATGGGGGGAAGTGGTTCACTCCATTTATGTGTTCGCTTCAAGAGTGAGAAACTGCACCCGTTACCAACAGAACACCTCAGTATTTGTATTATTCTCACACGTCGAGGAAGTGACAATCAGGGACAAAGACACACATCTGAAGCTTTCTTTCCAAGAACATGTTGCATTTTACATTTAATATACTTACACAAATGCAGTTAATGCAGTTTACAAGAAAAAAAAAGTTTTCTGAAGAACGACAAAGACACTTTGTGTATTTATAGCTCACATCTTTCAGCACAACATACTGTCGTTTCACGTTAATGTCCAGTAGCATTTATTCATACAAAGTCGCAAAAATGTAGCTTTAGTTCTTTTTATCGTGATCATCTTTCTGTGTAACTGTCTGTGAGGCAACTCTGGTCAAATGCTATATTGTATAATGATCAAGTGATTATTAACTTCATTGAAGTTGCAGTTAAAAAAAAAAAGGGCACCACATGCAGAACGGTCAGTTGTTCCTTCTGAAAGGGCAAACAAATGGGACGTTCATTGGAATCTGTACAAAACAGCAAGAAGAGAACATCATATTCACAAAATAAATATTTTCAACCACTTTGAACTTTCATTTGGACTTTTTCTGCACCCCTTTAGTAATACAGTTCATTGAGTAGGCGTTAATATACAGCGTAAGGGGCAGTTATCAAACTGCACAAACCCACATTCGTTCTGCTACAGAATCAAACAGAAGACTGAACGATACCTTCTGTGTTGCTATAGGGAACCTAAATAAATCCTTCTCACTGCTTCCCTCAGGTAGGCAGGAATACAAATGCAGACAAATTTGTTTGTATCCTTTCATGAAGGAAAGAAAAGGCCATTTTCATCACTTTGTTTTCATGAATCATTCTGTTGAAACACAAACGATCAAGAAAAAGCAACGATCGATTACCATTAGATGATTTTCAGCCTTTTTTTTCTTTCTTTTTATTAAATTTAAAAGTTTCAATGTAATTCAGTGACCTTTGTGGGGTTTTTCTTTCTGTAAAGGTCACAATAAATTTGTTTGCATCTATCTGTACATCGTCAACAATTTTCTATCAAAAGAAAGCAAGTAAATAATGTTGCATATTTTTAGGTATTTGTTCTTCCCATTAATTGTAACTTCTTTGAATCCAGTTTCAAATAAATAGATAAATAAATAAACAGGAAAAAGATCCAGTGAGAATAACTTCAAACTAAATATTTCTCTCTATGAGGTACTTTTACGGAGTAGATGGCGCCCTCTGGTGGTAAATCTTCAAAACTACAGTTAAAACAACATAAAGGGTGCTACTCCTTTAATAAATAAATAAAAAAACAGCAAATGCATCATTGAAAGCCAGATGAAAATCACAAAACATGAAAATCAACCAACGTTAATCCATTTCAAGTCATGTCCTACCTCTTAAAAGAATTGTTTTGAACAATTAATTGTTCAAGACTCACATTTGCACCTCTTATCAAAATCTTTGTACCTTTTTTTTTTGTGGCCAGAGACTGAATTTAAATAAAGAAACTTTAATTTTAGCAAGAATTAATCCCTAAGACAATGACATTTTTGTCCAGATTTTAAAAAAAATCACTTTAAAAAAGTTTCTACTTTTGTTTTGAATACTTCATTAAATCAATTAGGCAAAGCAGCCTTGATCCAACTGTTTTCCGGGCCTCTTTATTTCACACTAAAACCAAACGAGACACTTTTTTTGTTTTTTTTTCCGAATGTGCAGCGATGATGACGTGTTGGGTTCCAGTCCACGCTGTTCATTAACACCAGCAGCCTTTGCGCTGATCACCAGCTGCACTGTCACAGAGTCCATCCTCCTCCTCCAGAGCGGCGAGGTCAAGTTCATCATTCAGAGACATCCGGAGAAGATCCAGGTCCTTTTTGTTGGCTGCCAGCACCTGCTCAGCCAGTCGTGTAAATGTCTTAGAGGGAGAGACGAGAACAGGTGAGAAACCAAGTCAATCACTCTTATTTTGAAATGTTGTGAATTCCTTAAAGCACACCTCTGTTATATTGTGGTTGGTGAAGGCACTTGTCTCAAAGAAGTCCATTCCATAGGCTTTGGCCAGCTGGAGAACAGAAAGCATCATTATATAAAAAGATGACTTAAATATTTCCTCTCATAAACTCAACTTAAACCCTCCAAGGACTTGTCATGAAGCTCCTAGCAGAGTTATAAGTTTAGTTTAACCCCTGACCCTAAAGTCTTCTGTGTCGCCCGACGAATGGAGTCGAGGAGGAAATTAATGATGTGCTTTCCTGTTAATCCCGCTCCCCTGACGTCTCATGGCAAGAGCCTGAAGCATTTACAGTTTCAATCACTGACTTCCTGTCCTTCGACTTGACAGATAAGAAGCAAACACACAAATATGATCTTCAGGGCGGCAAAAATGGTGAAAAAAAAAAACCTTCTGTTGGGTCTTCGCCTACTTGTTCACACGAACCCGAAGAGGGTTTAAATAGTGCTGGGTTTGGTTAGCTCCATGCAGGAGCTGCAAAACCAGGGGCTGATCGAGAAGCGTCTTTAGCTCCTCTCTGCATCATCAATGCTACTTCTCATGTGGAAAAGAAATGACTTATGGCAAGCCATTCATGCATTTAATTGTAAAGCAGGCCCCTTAAAAGGCTGATAGCTAGAAATCAATTTTTCCAGGTGAAAATGAACATTTAAGATTCCCAGAATGATGCTCGGAGTACTGTATGCGAATGACTCTCAGCACTGGGTCTGTTGGCACATTAAGATAAGATTAGTGATCCCGCATGAAATTGTTGTGCCAGAGTTTTGACGTTATCTCGTGGATCACTGAACAAAAGTTTAATGAAACTTGCAGAAAGTAATCATTGGATGTGCACCTGCAGTTGGAGAGCCGCCGCAGCCAACAGTCCTTAAAAACACACAAAAAAATAGCCAAACGCTTTTAGTTATTGACCTCAAATTTGGTGCGGTAGTAGATGAGACTGAACACCAACACATTTTTGGAGTGCTAACAGTTTGCACAAGACATTTGTTTATTATTTTGCTTGTACTATTTGAAGTCAACCCTGTATATCTGTTAGCAAAATAATCTTATGAATCGTTTGACAAATTTCAATGAAACTTGCAGCACGTAATCAATACATGTTCATCTGCAGCTGATTAACTTATGGGGTCAACTTGGTTTAAGATGGCCGCCGCAGCCAATTAATCTTGTATAACAAAAAACAGCTATAACAGTCAACTTTAAGGATATTGAGCTGACCTTTGACATGGTAGTAGCTGAGAATCATTGAAAACATATTCAGAGCATGATATATTGCATAAAATAGCATTTAACATTACTTTTAATGTTTAACCAATATAATTACAACTTTGAAATTTGTCAACGTAAGGTGACATAAGGTCTAAAACTTTGGCCTGAAAGGAAGTGGGCAATATGCATTATTTCAAGGAATGCTAAGCCTTAATTTAGACTAGCTTGAATGCTTATCAATGTTGAAAAAACAAAGGATAAGATAAACTGAATGTTACAGTTAGACCTGTCACAATAACAAATTTGCTGAGCGATTAATTGTCTCAAAAATTATTGCGATAAACGATAATATTGTTTGAAATTGGCAATAATTTGTAATTATTGTCAAATTTAAGAAGAAATTAATGTTGGTAATTTGTTTTGTGTGTAGTACTTTTTGTTGACCACTGGATGGCAGTATTAGACTGTTTGAATTGAAGGATGGCTAGTGAGGGAACGAGCAGCGTGTCTTTAAGAAAAATGGGAGGGAGGCCCCTTGACGTGACACGGGCTGTCTCTCCTTCCCGTTTTTCGGTTCTCAAAATGGCGGATGCTCAGTGTGGTTTGAGCTCTTTAGCATAGCAGTTTTCACACAAAGCTTTTAATAAAAAAAAATCAGTAAACAAGTTCTCAGCTACTTTTTTTCAGGGAAAAAACAAGTTTTTGCGTAAAGGCACGGGTTTCAACCATGAATTTTGAAGGGTTTTTTTCCCCGAGGTCGGCCTGTTAGCTTAGCTCGTAGCTTAGCTTCTCAGCTTAGCTGCTTTTAACGATCCAAAAACACAATTTGGACGGTTAAAACGGATTTTAAAGAGAAAGGGAGGGGTCAGTGAAGAGCACCGGAGTTGAGCCTTTTTGTCATCCAGTGTCTTCAGTAGAAAGAGAGAGACGCGAAGAAACAATATGTTGATAAATGAAAATTATCAACCTCTTTTTAATTTATCATGCGATTAATTGATTTATTGTTTATCGCGACGACTGTGCAACCTTTGGCTTACTATCTTGACAGTGTATCAGGATTTGATTCAATAAATATTCAAACCATACGACCGCAGCAGATGTGCTGCTTATGCACCAATCAGAATTCAGCTTCATTCATTTGCATGATCATCCAAAGACTTGAAATGGGCGTTAGAAATGCAAAACCTGTTGCGTTTGCAGTTTATGATTAAAGCTAAAGCTAAAGTGAAAGCAGTTGCTCCATTCTAACAACCCCCTGTAGATGACACACCTTGGCTCCTTGCTCCGTAGCCACCTGCCTCTTGTCCACGTCGTCCGACTTGTTCCCGACCAGAATCTTCTGGACTTTTTCTGGAGCGTACTGCACACGGTTTCCATGGATAATAATAAACCCATGCAGAAGATGTACAGATAAAAGATGACGAAGAAGAGAAGAGTGATTGCAAATGTCAAGAGAGAGCGGTGGGGGGGGGGGGGGGGGGGAGAAAACACAGGAGATGTGGCGATCAGGAAATGAGAGCATGATTAAAAGTAAGTGGTAAGCATGCCAAGCTCTACAGAGACCACATTCAGACAGACCCTCAGAGGAAATTAGGCTCATAATAACCACTTTAATAGAATAAAACCATGTGGGAGCTGACAGATGAAAACAAGGCACATAGGAGAGCTTAAAGCCACAAAGCTGAGAAGGAACAGCACACTTTAAAAAACATGGCAGATACTGAGAATTAAATCTAAAACTGCCAAAGCACTGATTTTAGTTTTTATCACTTAATGACAGTTTGGGTTCTCTGCAACACTTTGCATCTGCTGATGTGGCTCCTTTCTACAACTTGCTGTTGTTTCCAGTTTATGTACTCACTTCATCCACATCACTGGCCCACTTCATGATGTGCTGAAAGGACCGCTCGCTCGTGATGTCATACACCAGGAAGATGCCCTGTGAAGAGACGGACCAAGAGTCAAGCAAATTAAAGGACGAGCGTTCCTCGAAGCGATCACCCTCCGCCTTCCATGATAGTTTAAGATTAACATTATCTGACGCTAAGAACTGACGGATTCGTAGCTGCTTTGGTCAAACCTTTAAAACAAAAATATGTTTTATTTCCATGCAAACTCAAGAACTCAGAGAATGTGAATGACTCTCAGCTACTACCACAGCAAATTTGAGCTCAATATATGTAATGTTGACAAAAATGCCATGTTTTTTGTGTTTTCTAA